CAGTCATATGAGTTGAGCTGACGTGATAATATAATATAATATAATATAATATAATATGATATAATATAATTTAATATAATATAATAGAATATGATATAATTTAATATAATATAATTTAATTTAATTTAATATGAGATGTATTCATCCTATTTCGTTTAGGTGATGAAGGACTAGTAGTAGAATTTTCCCACAGTCATATGAGTTGAGCTGACGTTTCCATTTAATTTCACGGATCCTACGGAGCAGGCGGGAAACTGGTAAGAGGTAGGGCGGGAGGACTGCGTAACAATATGGCAGATTGATCAACATTCCCAGTATAAGGGTGAAAGAGGGGTGAGAAAGCCAGCGTGGGGTGTAGAGCATTGGTATGAGATCGGCTCAAAAGGGCGCAGCATACCACATTTAAATAAGCAAAGAAAAAACGAAAAATACGTTTTGATAGTTAAGGGCATATTCGAGGATATAGGATTGGTGATTAGTCACGAGTGTTTAGCAAACAATTGGTCAAAGGATCAGCTTCATTTGTCTCTTCGACGAGTCGTGGTGTGATTCTAAGAGTGGCAAGACTCACTGATGATGCCGGCGAAACGTTTGCGAACGTACCACGTTCACGGTCCGAATTTGGAAGCGTTTGTGCATACAATGGACTCCGGACTAGCTACGCTCCTCTAAGTCTTCCTACCAATATGACCAAGTTGCGAAAACAACTTCTATACGATGTATCTTCACATTATTTCACTTAATGTTGGATGTGGTGTTTTATGGTAAAAATACTACTTTTATGTTGTCACGCAAATTTGCAATTGCATGTGATTGCTACCACTTCTCCTTATTTCTCACTTTCATCTCCATTAATCCATGCATTCCAACTTTTGGCAATTTAATAATTGCTACCAACACGTTTGCGTTTTTTTACTACATCAAACTTTTGTTTGCATTTAATCGCTTCTTTTTTCATCTCCACTATTCCCCTTAACATGCTTTTTATTTGTCCATATTTACTAGGAGTCTGTTATACTATTTTTGATATGCTTTTATATTCATGGCAAACTTAATAGTGTGATAAGCATCAACACGCTTAGTGGTGCATCTGCTCCGCTGGCCTGTAGCCCCTTGATGGCTAAAAATTAAGTTTTGGTTGATTCTTTGTGTCCTCGTTTCAATTCATATCTCGTATGAAATCTAATTTCGTACTTTGTATCCTCGCTACCTTCTGGCGTCTTGTAAAGTACTGGTTCATTTATGAGAAGTAGAAAATACCACTTTTGTGAGTGCGTGTTCATGTGTGTACTGATGATTGCATATCCTAGTTGATTGCTTCACCAAATTAATCATGTGCTAATTCTGATTATTGATAGTTAAATTTTCCCTCAAAGCTATCAATGGGCCTCAAGTTTCCATGGAATTTCACATGGCCTTTCCTCCAGAATACCATTCTCGTGCCATCTTGTTTAGGGGCAATAGATGAAATACCCATTTAGTCTATTCCTTGCTGTCTCCAGGTCACTTTAGCTTTTAGTGGACGAGATCTGTTTCCGAGCGCTCCAAGCTCGTGCATTCAGGCGCACTAAAACATGCTCCTTTTCTCACCTGCTCCCACAAACAACGTTGCCACTTCATTTGCACGTCGTCGCAGGAAATGCGATCCGACCGCCTCCTCACAGTGACTCGGCTGGTTGGCAGCCAACATTCGTCTCTGCTGGCCGCCCATTCGAAGCGGATCCTGTTCACTCGGACCCGATCAATCTCAGCTCCCGGATCACTGGCACCAGCGTCACTCGCCAATCCACGTCCGACGGATCTTGCTGTGGCGCTTCTTCGTTTCCTTTCACTCCGGACTCTTACGACTCTCCGCTTACGTTAGTGTGTTCGTCCCGGGTTCGGACCAACGTCTCGTCAACTCGGCCCAACTCCTGCCAGCCGCATGGTACCTCGGCACCTTCGGCCCCACTTGGGCCGCATGTCTCCGTCTGTCAGATGACCCCAGCTGCCGACAGACGAGGTCCGCTTATAGCCCACTGTCACCTTTGTTTAGTTGAGCTGAGAGATACGAAAAGTTTGAAGATGCTGCGTTCGGATCCGGTTCCGGAACAGCCTGGTCTACCTTATTTTCCTTTTCTCACGAGGTGAGAATAGTTATTTTTCTTTTTCCTCATTTCTCATATTTATGCGTTCTTGCAGACTTCTGACGACGGCTCGATTCTTCACAGTATTTTCACCGATATTTCTTGTCATTAAAACGTGTTCACTCGAAGGTAGGAAGACCAAGATGGTGTGACCTTTTGTGTGGTCGCAGTCTCCTTTTGTTGTACAGAAGTGGTTTGACCTTGTATTCGCAACTCGGTCATATTGGTATGAAGATTTAGAGGAACGCACCTAGTCCGGAGTCCATTGTATGTATAATCATTTTCAGTCGGCTCGTGGACATTGTACATTCCCAGACGTTTCTCCGGCATCGTCAGTGAGTCTTGCCATTCGTAGCACCACATTATAGCTCGTGAAGAGACAAGTTAGGCAGATCCTTTGACCAAACGTGTGCTAAACAGTTTTGGTATCTCGCCTTTTGTCCTGGTCTATTCACATTTCCTTTATCCTCCTATCACACCTTCACTGTCACAATTTTTTACTTGCTCATTTAAATGTGGTACGGTGTGCCTTTTTGAGCAGCTTTCACGAAAACCTTTCGCATTTCACGCTGACCTTCTCACCCCCTTCATCCTTGTTCTGGGAATGTTGATCAGAGTATGCCATATTGTTACGCAGTCCTATTTCCATAGGTCTTACCACATTGTGACATTGAATGCGTGATAGGAGGATATAGGAAATGTGAATAGGCCAGGGCAGAAGGGGAGATACCACAACTGTTGAGCACACGTTTGGTCAAAGGATCGGCTTCACTTGTCTCTTTGACGAGTTGTTGTG